AATTTAACCATACTCTTTCTCAGAGCTTTTGAACAAGTTAATTTCTATACCAATTCCTATACATTTTTCAAATGTTAGGTTAAATTTCCCTTCTTTAGAAAAACTCTCTGGCCAGGTCAGGTCCCTTTGTAAATCTCCTTCTAAACCATTCACAATTATAAATTTAAAATCTGGCTGGGTGCGGTGACTCACGCCTATAATCTCAGCACTTTGGGAGGCTGAGGCGTGAGGATTGCCTGAGCCCATGGATTCAAAACCAGCCTGGGAAACTTGTGAGACTTCATCTCTACAATAAATTTAAAAAATTAGCTGGGCACGGTGGCACATGCCTGTAGTTCCAGTTACTTGGAAGGCTGAGGCTCAAGGATAGCCTGAGCCCAGTAGGTTGAGGTTGTGGTAGCTGTCAGCATGCTACTGCAGTCCAGTCTGGGTGACAAAGTGAGGCCACAACTTAAAAAAAATAACAAAAAATAAAAAATAAAAATTTGTGTTTAATGTCTGTCTCTTCCACTAGTTCTCTTGTAAGCCCCAAGAGAACAGAATTTCTTGTTCACCACTCTATCTCCAATGTCTGGCATATACTAGGAGTTCAATTTGTTGGATAATGGAATGGTTCACTATAAGGTGTTACTGTATTTCTAGGGTCTGGTGACCAGTAAGGTTCACAGATCTCTTTTTAAAGGGAAAAACTAATAGGTCACACTTCAGGATGCAAGCTCCCTGTTTCTAGTTTAAAAAATTTAATGCCAGGTGTGGTGGCTCATGAGTGTAATCCCAGCACTTTGGGAAGCAGAGGCAAGAGTATTGCCTAAGCCCATGGGTTCGAGACCAGCATAGGCAACTTGATGAGACCTTGTCTCTACAATAAAAAAGGAAAAAAAAGCCGGGCTTAGTGGCTCAACCTGTAATCACGCGCCTTTGGAAGGCTGAGGTGAGTGAATTGCCTGAGCCCGTGGGTTCGAGACCCACCTGGGCAACTTGGCAAGACCTCATCTCTACAATAAATAAAAAAAAAATTAGCCGGGCATGGTAGCGCACGCCTGTAGTTCCAGCTACTTGGAAGGTTGAGGCGGAAGGATCGCCGGAGCCCAGCAGGTTGAGGCTGCGGTGGCCGGGAGCGGCCACTGCACTCCAGTCTGGGCGACAGAGTGAGACTCCAATTCAAAAAAAAAAAGGAAAAAAATTAATTATTAACTGAATTTTTAGATTTCTTGCTTATGGCATTATTACTTTGGAGAGGAAAAAAACCCCATCAATATAGACATGTCACTTTAGACATTTATTCAACAACAAACATTTACTGACTGGCCTACTGTACTACATATGGGAAGCTATGTTATGAACTGGAGATACAAAGGAAAAAAAAACCCCACTATTCTGAGCTGAGCTTGGTGGTTCATGCCAATAATCCCAGAGACAGGAAGCTGAGGCAGAATTGCTTGAGGTCAGGCGTTCAAGATCACCCTGGCCAACATAGTGAGACTCATATCTAAACAAATAAACACAAAAAACACTGCTTTAAAGAACAGAAGCCTAGTGCAGTTGCTTAGTTTAAAAACTGATAAGCTTAGGCCAGGCCCAGTGCCTCATGCCTATACTCCCGGCACTTTGGGAGGCTGAGGTGAGAGGACTGCCTGAGCCCAGGGGTTTGAGACAAGCCTGGGAAACTAGGTGAGACCTCATCTCTACCATAAATCAAAAAGTAGCTGGGTGTGGTGGCATGTGCTTGTAGTTCCAGCTGAGGTAGAAGGATTGCCTGAGCCCAGCAGGTCAAGACTGTGGTGGCCGGGAGGGTGCCACTGCCCTCCAGCCTGGGCAACAGAGACTCCAACTCAAAACAACTCCCAAACAAAAGCCAAACTGATAAGCTCTTGAAAAAACGTGTGGAAACAAACTGGGATATTGAACAAGAGTTTTCTTTTTTAAAATTTTATTTCTTTTTTAGAGACAGGGTGTCACTTTAATGCCCAGGCTGGAGTGCAGTGATCCAATCATAGCTCACTGCAGTCTTGAACTCCTGGGGTCAAGTGATTCCCCTGTCTCAGCCTCCCAAATAGTTAGGACTACAGGCACACACCACCAAGTTCAGCTAACTAAAAAAAAAAGTTTTTTTTGTAGAGACAAGGGTCTCACTGTGTTGCCCAGGCTGGTCTCAAACTCCTGACCTCAAGCAATTCTCCTGCCTTGGCCTCCCAAAGTGTGGGGATTAGTGAAAGGAGACATTGTGCTCAAGTGCATAGTCGTTAATCCTGAACAGTATTTTTCAATTTCTTTCTTTCTTTTTTTTTTTAATTGTAGAGATGTGGTCTCACCAAGTTGCCCAGGCGGGTCTCGAACCCATGAGCTCGGGCAATTCACTCACCTCGGCCTCCCAAAGTGCGGGATTACAGGCTGAGCCACCGAGCCCTGCTCAATTTATTTCATATGCTCCAGTTCAGGTTTCATCATTCCCTACCTGAATTGTTGCACTCTTCCGTCCCAATTTCCTATCCTATTTTAATAATGCATTATTTGTCTTCATAGCATTTAATGGTTTTTGGACATATGAGACAAAGTAGCAAATTCATGAAGCCATGTTTGCTCCGTTCTGGTTCCCAGCAGAATTTCACAAAGCCCGTAAGTTGCAACTGAGCACAGCCCTTCGGAAGAATACATGGAAGATGATAAGCAGGACAGAGCACAGCCTCCCATTTCTTTTAATTGAATCACTGCAGTTTTAGAAAAGATAAATACCGAAACCTCATCTCTACAATAAATCAAAAATTAGCTGGGTGTGGTAGTGTGCGCCTGTAGTTCCAGTTACTTGGAAGGCTGAGGTGGAAGGATCACCAGAACCCAGCAGGTCGAGGCTGTGGTGGCCAGGAGCGGCCACTGCACTCTAGTCTGGGTGACAGAGTGGGACTCCAACTCAAAAAGAAAAAAAAAAAGAAAAAAAAAGAAAAAGAAAAGATAAATGCAATGATTCTAGCCATGCCTCTTCCTATACAGTAAAAAAAGGTCTTGGCTGGGCTTGGTGACTCATCCTGTAATCCCAACACTTTGGAAGTGAGGCAGAGGTGAGTGGATTGCCTAAGGCTGTGCGTTTGAGAACAGCCCGGGCAATTTGGTAAGCCCTCATCTCTACCAAAAAAAAAAAAAAAAAAAATAGCGCCTGTAGTTCTGGTTACTTGCAAGGCTGAGGTGAAGGATCGCTGGAACCCAGCAGGTCGATGCTGGAGTGGCCGTGAGTGTGCCACTGCACTCCAGCCTAGGTGACAGAGTGAGACTCCGACTTAAAAAAAAAATCTGACAGGATTAATGATTATGCACCTATATTCCATAATCAGATGTGCCCTCACACCTAATCCTTCATGAGATTTTGCTATAATGTAATTTCTGAGCACATTTAAAGTAACCTCTGGGCACATTTGATATAACTTTTGAGCTCATTTACTGTAACTTCTGAGTACATCTGCTGTAACATCTGAGCTCCTTTGATGTTAACTTCTGACCACATACAGAGTTGCCACCACCTGTACATATAAGCCCTAGGCTGAAATACTGCTTTGGCAGTCTAACAAACATGAAACAACTATCCTGTGTTGCAACCCTTTTTAGTTCTTTAAAAGTCTGTTTCTTTAGTTGACAGATATGTAATTTATTTTACTGTTTTTTTTTCCATTAAATTGCAAGCTCCACGAAGGCAAAGGGTTTTTATTTTGTTCATGGCTGTATTTTCAGCGTGTGAAGCTCAGAAAAGGCTTTGAAAAACTTGAAGATATATAATAACCATCATACACCTCCCTGCTTCAAGTCTTTCTCCATCTATTCATACATACTTACTCTATTCTTTTAAGGGCTCTCTTACCCCATGTTTGTACGAATATTGCGTCTTTTTAGTTGTCTGCTTATTTTTCATTTGTGTCTCTGTTTCAGTCGCACTTTAGATTGCCCACTGTGAGGCAACTGTCTGGACTTTGCCTCCTTTCCCTTATTTATATCTGGCTTCTTTCTGCCCCTGGCCCAGGGAGCAGCCTCTGGCCCATGATGGTCTCTAAAGGATATGCATATTCCCAATAATAAGTGCAGGTGACCAAGCAAAGCACGAAGCAATGGGGTCGCCACGTGTAATCAATGTAACTGTAAACAGAATTTGAATTAACTGACTTGTCCATAAAATTGTTCGCTGTGCAGCCCCAGGGGTGGACCTTTTCCTCAACAACCGTCCTCCCTTGGTGCCACCTTTGGGTTCTAACAGACCAAAGTCTTTCCTTGCTGGATCTCCGAGTGACTTCTTTGGAATATGTAAAGAACCTCACGCGCAAGCCCTTGGTGGCGCACCCACCAAAGACCAGTGCAAGTAGAAAAAACGGGAGCTGAAGACAGCAGCCTGACAGCTGGAGCTGCCCGGGAGAAGTGAGCTGACAAAGAGAGCGAGCATATCCAGACTGGTCTTTTAAACAATTTCTGAGGCGCAGAGGGTGAAAGATACCGGCGTTCAGCAAATCGTAGAGTACACCTGCGGAATTGCTAGTTTCCGGCGCTCAGCTCCGCTCCGGCGCAGCGTCCATCCGGCATGGTGGAGGACTTCCGTTTTTTCACGTGCTGAGTCACGGCCGAAGGCTCGGCCCCGTGTGTGAGGGGCAGAGTGCACAAAATATGACACGAGTGGGAAAGAGAGCCTTTTGGAATTAATTGTGTCCAAGTGCTTCTGCTTTCTCATTAGGGAAAGGAATATTTACTTTCTCTGAGACGCGGAGCTCTAGTCGGCGACCGTCTCTAACTCAACTCCCCGCCCTCCCGCGTACGTCACAAACGCGACGCAGCCGCCCAGGGGCCCTTTTCCCGTCGTCCTCCGCGCCAGTCTCTCCGCCTCTTCACCCTCGCCCCGCCCACCTCGCATTTCGAAATGCTTGCTGGGTGCGCCGAGAATCTGGGCCTGTCATTTTGGTTCCTTTCCTTTCCTTTTCCCGTTGGTTGCTTACGTGCGCGTGACTCCTTTCTTGCTTCGTGATTGGCTAAAATCAGGAACGTCGTCGGCGGCCGGCAGAGCGGGGGGATGAGGGAAGTCGGCGTGAGGAAGACCTGATTGGGGGAGGGGTTCAGGCCTGTCCTCCCCAGCGACTGCGGCAGCACCAACGCCGGCCGCCACCGCCTCTGGGACGCAGAGCGGCTGGAGGAGGAGGAGGAGGAGGCGGTGGGCCCTGGGAAGCGGGATGCCCATCGCTCGAGCTTGGTGGTGAATGCTGAAGAGGGTCACGGTTGCTGCAGTCTGTGCCACCGGGAGGAAGTTGTGGTGTGAGGCCGGGCGGGAGCTCGCCGCTCTGTGGAGGATCGAAGCGCGGGGTCGGTGCGAAGACTCTGCCGCTGCCAGACCCTTTCCTGCTGTGACCATGCCTGGAAGGAACAAGGCGAAGTCTACCTGCAGTTGTCCCGACCTGCAGCCCAATGGACAGGATTTGGGCGAGAGCGGCCGGGTTGCCCGTTTAGGAGTGGATGAATCTGAGGAAGAGGGACGGAGAGGGTCTCTCAGTAATGCTGGGGACCCTGAGATCGTCAAGTCTCCCAGCGACCCCAAGCAATACCGGTGAGGGAAGAGGCTTGGACTGGGGAGGAGAGCAGGGTGCAGGCCTCTCTTTTTGCCGCCGTCACTTCTCGTCTCCGTAACTTCCGAAGGAGCAGCAGGGCATTCTTTCCATCCCACATGCTTCCCTGGGTGGAGGTGACAAGGGTAATTAGGGGCTTCCATGTGGTGTCCGCTGGGCAGGTGGGAAATCTTGGGTTCCGGGATGTCAGAATGGGAAGAAGTTTTCGAGTAGTTTGACAATAGCTAAAGCAGGAATGGAAGCTTCTCTGAGGAAGGCAGCCTCGGTGTGAGGGAGCCTGGTACTATGTGAGGTGGGAAGGTAGACGGAGTTGAGGATTTTCATTTTGGAGGGCAAGAGATTTAGGGGGCTTATTGTTACTGCCCAAGAATATTTGAGGGGCCCTTAAGTGAAAATGAGGTAAAACTAGTGAGTGAAAGGAGGATGCTGTGGCTTGAGTAAAAGAGCTTTGCATCCTAGTTGGCCCAAGTTGAAGTGGCTTGTTTCCGTGGGTAGTTCTCTATTACTAGAATGATTGGGGGAACCACTTCTAGGAATAGATTAGAGAGGACTCGGGGCTCAGTTGGGTGAGTTGTGGAAGTCTTAGGAGGTTTCTTCTAATCCTGAAATCCTCTACTTTTGGTTTGTGCAGGAATCCTCTAAACATTTCTCATAATTTTTGATCCATCCGAATATTTCCTTTAAAGGTAGCTTATTTCATAGAATATCTTGACTATGATATATTTTAAATAGAGTTCATATCGTCCAACAGTTTCGTTTTACAGGTTGAGGAAATTGAGACCCAGAGAGTTTACTTATTGCTCAGAATTACACGGCTAACACAAGCCAGTATAAAAACCCTGGGTATGTGACACCGAATCCAGTGCACCATTTGCTGATTTTTGTAAAGTTCTTGCTCATGCTGAGTTGAAAGCTGAAGAAGTATTCCAGCTCCAAATTTCTTATAAGCCCCTATAGTGTTAGAGCAGGAAGGAACCTTAGAGGTAGGTCATCTTTTCCTCTTCTCATCATCCCAATTTGACAGATGACTGAAACAGATCTAGGAAGAAGTGACTTAGTCCCAAGTTTAAGACCAGTCTAATTTCTTCTTTCACTCCAAGTCTAGAAATGAACAGCACACAACTTTGTATTATTTTCCCCAGGCTTTCAAGGTCAAGAGATCTTTATAGATGGACTAAATTTTATCTTTCTTATCAAAGATGTGGTAGTACAGATTGAGCATCCCTAATCCGAAAATCTTAAATACTCTGAATCTCAAAACTTTATGAGCGACAAGACGATGCAACAAGTGGAAAATTCCATACCTGACACTTTTGCTTTCTGATGGTTCAGTGTATACAAACCTTGTTTCACGCACAAAATTGTTAAAAATATTGTATAAAATTACCTTCGCGTTATGTGTGTAAAGTGTATATGAAACATAAATGAATTTCATATTTACACTTGGATCCCATCCCCAAGATAGCTCATTGTGTATGTGCAAATATTCTAAAATCTGAAAAAAATCCCAAAATCTTGAAACTTTTGGTGCCAAGCATGATGGATAAGGGATACTCAACCTGTATTGATAATGTTTGTAAATGAGCAAGTTGAAAACGATAACAGATGCTTAGTTTGTTTTTCTGTGTATTCAATAATGGCTTCAGGGTTTTTTTTTGCCTACATAAAGTTATATAATAACTAATGTTTGTGGAATAGACACTGTGTGTCAGCTGCCTTCTAACTGCTTTAGATTTATTTCATTTAATGACCTCATTTTTGGTAAATTATTTTGACAAATGCCTATTAAGTCCTACTGTGTGCCAGGCACCAAGCTAGTTTAAACCTTTTCTGAAACTTGGTTGAATAACATTTTATTCTGGGTAACTATGCAAAAATAATTAAGACAATCTCTGCCTTTAGGGAACTTACAATATAGTAGAGGGACACAGACACATTTAAAAAAAAGTAGAGGGCCAGGCATGGTGACTCATGCCTATATACCTATAATCCCAGCATTTTGGGAGGCTGAGGTAAGGAGGATTGCTTGAGGCCATGAGTTTGAGACAAGCTTGGGCAACATAGCTAGACCCCATCTCTGGAAAAAAAAAAAAAAATAGCCATCTATACCCGAGGTGAAAGAATTGCCTGAGCCCAGGAGGTTGAGGCTGGTGAGCCGTGATCACTGCATTGCACTCCAGCTTGGGCGACAGTGTGATACTGACTCAAAAATTAGGGCACTGAAGTTTTATAGAAGCCATAATGGAAGTATGTCCTAGGTATATAGTAGAATAAAATAAAGAGTGATAAAGTCTACCTGGAAAGGAAGCAAAGACTTCAATGAAGAGATAATGCTTAAGAGTTGTTCTTTGAATACATTGTTGCTTTTCTGTTTTTATATGGCCTTTGTCAAGTAGTTGTCCTTACTGTCTCAGCTTATTTTAAAATGAAGGGGTTGATTAGAATAGTGTTTTTCAGTAACCCTTCCTCCCTTTCAAAAGAGCAGATATATGTTACCTGTTGTATATACTGGAGTTTTATTTTGACTTTTGAAGAAAAGATTTTGTTACTTTAAAATAAAGGTAGAAAACCTCAGGACTAAATGATCTTTAGAAACTTAACCAGCTTAAAGTTAAATTCTGCAAATTTTTGTAAACAGAAACAGACTCATGAGGCATCTGTAGCCTAGATAGCTGATGTTATCTCTGAAGGACCTACTCAGATGTTATCTCTGAAGTCTTTCTGGGCGGAACTAATTCCTCCTTCATTGTTTTTCTGTAGGACTTTGTACATGATCCATTACAGTACACAGCCATCATTTTATGTGTTTTGAATGTGTGACTAGCCACTAGAGGAGGACTTGTTTAAAGAAATATTATTAGAAATAATGCCTTGAAAGACTTACCATTTGCATTTATTAATAATAACCTGCAGAATTTTACTTATATATATGTAAGCTTTTTTTGAAATGTTGAGCATATCTCCAGGACACCTGTTAAGCTTTTTTTAGGGGTCTACTATATAAATTCTTGCCTAGTGTTGATTCCCTTCTCTTCTGAAAGGATTAAGGGACTCCAGGCTGGGAACTATAATTCAAATTTTTATTGGTGAGGAGTGGAAATTCTAGATGGACAGGATTAGTAGTGCTGCATTCTGAGTAGTAAATTATTTTGATAACAGGAAGAGCATTTAATGTTAGGAAGTTTGGATTGACTAAAATAAGTATAAAGTACTTTCCATATTTAATCTGTTTGTTAAAAGACCTGTATTTTTATGGGGAAGGGGAGAAGAACAAAGGAAAAGGCATATACACTTCCGAAGGACAAGCCCTTCTAATTTAAGTTTTGGTCAGACTGTGACAACTGAGGAGATTGTTATCAGAATAAATACTCAATATCCTATAGAAAATAATGGGTGTAGGCTGAATAATGTACAGGCAGTTTCTGAACATTTATTATGTTTACTGTTGTGTGGTGTTGAACAGAGGATCACAATTCAAGTGAGCAGAACAGCTGTATTGGGAACACCAACATTTGTTGGTTTCCCTGATAGCTCAGTAGTGGGATGGCTTGCTTCTGAGCATAAGCCTTAGGCAAATCTAGGTATTAGAAGCAAGAGACCGTTTTCTTTTGTATTGGATGGGAAGAACATGGATTTATTTGTTGACCTTTTCAACTAAAACTCCTGGAATACTAATGCTTCATTCAATATGTGAGGCAACAATTTCATATTGTGTATATATGAGGGGGGACCCCCCAAAAAGACTCTGGAATTTACTTATAAAAGATTGTGTATGCTTACATGTTTAAACTTCAGTTATCTTCAGAGTACTCTCCGTTTGATGCAGTATACCTTTCGAGATGCTTTTTCCATTGCTCAAAACAATTTTTGGACTCAATTTTGATGCTTTTTAGTGCTTTGTTGTTTTTTGTTTCTCCTCTTCCACATTGGCAAAACGTTTCCCTCTGAGGACCTTTTTCATCCGGGGAAACAAAAAAAAGTCACTTGGGGCAAAATCAGGTGAATAGAGAGGGTGGGACATGGGGGCATGGGAGTCTTGCCATATTTTGTTAAAAACTGTGGAATGCTAACTGCTGTGTGGGCAGGTGTGTTGTCATGGTGGAAGAACCAGTCACCTGTTTGCCATGATTCATGATGTTTCCTCCGCAAATAGTAATGCAACTTTCTCAAAACTTCCAGATGAAAACTTTAGTTGATCCAGTTGATCCAGAGGAACAAATTCCGTGTGTCCTATAGGGGGCCCTCACTCCAAAGATAATTCTGATTTTGGGGTATTCCCCCCTCATTTTATACATACATACACACACACACACACACACACACTTATGATATAATCATAGTTATGATATGAACTACAAAAGAATATTTTTTTGGGTCAGAGTCTCACTCTGTCACCCAGGATGGAGTGCAGTGGCATGCTCATGGCCACCGCAGCCTTGATCTACTTGACTCAGTGATCCTTCTGCCTCAACCTTCCAAGTAGCCAGTACAGTTGTGTACCACTGCGCTCGGCTAATTTTCCTTGATTTATTGTAGAGCTGAGGTCTCGTCAAGCTGCCCAGGCTGGTCGTGAACCCTTGGGCTCAGGCAGTCCTCTTGCCTCTGCCTCCCAAAGTGCTGGGATTACAGGCATGAATCACCCTGCCTGGCACAAAATAAATTAGTATGCCTTACATGTGTACATTTTAAGAGGTTGACAGCATCTAGTTCCTCAGTCTGATACTTGAATCCAAATCTTGATTTTTTTTATCTCTCTCAGTCTTGTAAAGTAAAGCAAGCTATTTATTACCTCATGAGATTTCAAGTTCATTTAATGAAGTGAGTACTTTTAAGGTTAAAATACATTAAATCTTCTGAATATGAATATGACTTTAATAAACATATCTTTTATCTCTTACCATTCCTTAGACTGATTTCCTTAATGCGGGCTGATGGACTGGAATAGAAAATAATGTATTTGTTGTTTCTAACTGAATTGTGT